GCAGCGGGCAGAACTTTGCAGTTGTCGCTCGGGAGCAGCTGCAGGGTCCGCCTTGAAAGGCTCCCTGAGGCCCGTTTTGCGGGCTTTGTTCAGGCCACTGGAGCTTCGGGTTGCCACGGCCTGGCGGCTCGGCGCCAGACACTTGCTGTCTTCCGGTTTTACTTAAGTTTATTTTTCTGAGACGGGAGCTGTGTAGTCCAGGCCCGCCTCACGCTTGCAGCGGTCCTCCTGCCTCAGCCTCCGGAATGCTGGGATTGCAGGCGTGGCCCCTTGCCCGGCCTTGTCTTGCAGTTTAGGGGCCGGAGGTCTGGGCCAGTGTGCGCGGGGGCTCCCCGAGGGCGGTGCTGGAGCCTACCTCTGCCTGAGCCCCGGCCCTGTGTTGTGTAGCAGCATCGCCCTGGCCGCCCTCACGGCTTCTCCTGCCGGGACCTGTGCCAGTGTCCCCTAAAGGGCAGCAGCCACGGAGCTGCGCGGGAGCCCCGTTTTAACTTGCTCACCTCGGGGACGCCAGGGTGTGACTCGGGAGCGTGAGCCCAGCCTCTCTGGCCAGGAGGAGCCGGGGCTTTCCAGCCGCGCCCCTCCCTGTCTGCTGGGCCTCGGGTGGGCACGAAGGGCTCTCCGCGCCCGGAGCGCCCCCCACGTGCTGCTCCTTGCTCCTCACCGCCATCCAGGCGTGGCCCACAGGTCTGGCGCCAGCCCTCGCTAAAGCGGCCCGTCCCGTCAGTGAGTGCGAAGCCGCAGCGCAGCGGTGGGACCGAGGCCGGCACGTGCTGCTCTGCGAAGGCGCCCGGCCGCAGGCGCGGCGCTGCCCTGGCGGGCGTGCGTGGGGTTGGGCAGCAGACCGGAAGGGAAGAAAGCGCACACAGGGCACGGGAGGAGCTGAGAGGGGAGAGTGCGCGGGAGGAACGGCCAGGCGGCGGGCGTCACACTGGGGCCCGGGGCTCCCTCAGCGGCTGGAGCGGGGTGACAGTGGGTCCCACAGAGGGAGCAGATGTCGAAGCCCCGAGACATGCTGGGTGTGGTGGTGCAGCCTCCGGGAGGCTAAGACGGAGGTGTCACCAGCGCAGAGCAACTCGGAAAGACCCGGTCAGAACGCAGGACAAGAAAGGGCAGTGCGCGCGTGTGCTGGGAGCCCGCAGGCTCCGTGCACGGGCGGCGGGCCGGGAGGGAGGAGCCCGGCCGCACGCGCCGCCTGACCCAGGGGAGCTGCTGAGCCCGCTGTCCTCCGCAGGTGAACGAGCGCGTGCTGGACAGGCTGCACCAGGTGCAGCGCATAACTCGGAGGCTGCAGCAGGAGCGCAGGTAGCCGTCCCTCCCGCCCCCGGCCCGGCTGCTGCTCCGATCGTGCACCCCTCGCCCCACCTGCCCGGTGTGCCCGGCCCCTGCGCACAGGCCGGGATGCGGGCTGGGTCGGGGGGACCAGCAGTTCCGGGACGCAGGGCACAGGGTCCAGCGCTCGCCTGCTGAGACCCAGCGCGAGCAGCGCCCCGGAGCTGCGCAGGGGCGACGCCAGTGTACACGGGTTGAACGGCCGAGCTCAGGGGGCCCCACACGACCCCCAGCAGGGCCTGAGCGGCGCCGGCCCCCCGCAGCCCCGCCCCGCTGCATCCCGGGAGGTGGGAGGAGCCCGGGTTCTGCCCACTCTGCCGGGCGCGCCTGACTTGCGGGCGCTGCTCTTCCGTGGAGCCCCTGTGTCCCGGCACCCCGGTCACCCGGAGCCAGTCTCCCTGTTCCCTTGGCCGTCGCCGCCCATTACAGGCAGGAAACCAGCGGTCAGCACCCCGCCCGGGTCCCACGGCCAGCTCAGCCGGCCGCCAGGCCTCGGGCTGCGGAGCTCCGGCGCCCTGGGCTTCCCGCAGAGCTCGGGCTGGGCTCGCCACGCCCACTGGCGGCGTCCCTGTCCACACAGGTTCCTCATGAGGGTGCTGGACTCCTACGGAGACGACTACCGGGCCAGCCAGTTCACCATCATGCTGGAGGTGAGCGCCGCTCGCGGGGCGCGGGGAACCGGAGCCGGGCCGAAACCTTCACGTGCCCCTTCCCCTCCAGGATGAGGGCAGCCAGGGCACAGACGCGCCCACCCCAGGCAACGCGGAGAACGAGCCTCCCGAGAGGGAGGGGCTGTCCCCACCTAGAAGGACTTCCGCACCCTCAGAAGCCAGCAGCCCGGCCCCCGCTGAGGGCCCCGGTGGGCGCAAGAGGCGGCGAGCACCCCGGGACGGGGGCCGTGTGGGCGCCGCACTGACCCCGGAACTGGCCCCGGTGCAGGTGGGTAGGAGCCCGGGCCGGGAGCCCTGGGCAGCAGAGTGGACGGAGCTGGGGAGTCAGAGGCCTTGGAGGAGGAGGACGGCAGGCGGAGGGGTGCGAGAGGCAGGGCGGTGGCACAGGAGGGGCTGCACCCGAGCCCGCCGGACCTGGGCTGGCCGGGGAAAGCAGCGCGGGGAGGCTTCGGGTGTCTCCCGGGGGCCGGGCCGGGAGTGCTATCCCTTGTCTCCCCAGGTTAAGGTGGAGGAAGACTTCGGCTTTGAAGCAGACGAGGCCCTGGATTCAAGTTGGGTTTCTCGGGGGCCTGACAAACTGCTGCCCTACCCTACTCTAGCCAGCCCACCCTTCGACTGAGCCCGCCCCAATAAACTGACCCCCACATGGCTTGGTCACTGCCTGCTGCTCCCACCCCTGATCACACACACTCGGAATCGAGTAGTTTTCACACTTTTATTCGGGGGCCGGGGGCCGCCTCCTTGCCCGTGGAAAGAGGCGCTCAAAAGTTCTTCAGCCACTCCAGGCTGGGGCCCTGGGGGTCCTGGGGGTGGCTGGGCACGTCAGGCATGTTCCCGTCGTCCCGGACGGGCACTGTGGGAGAGGAAAGTGAGTGGGTGAGACCGGTGGGTCTGCAGGGCCCCCAGACAAGCAGAAGGGGCTGTCAGTTTACACGCGGGCAGGGCCCAGGGAGAGAGGGGTGTGGGGGTCAGGGAACCAGAGACGGAGGCGTGACAGCCATCCCCAACAGAGCCCGGAAAGCAGCAGAAACGGGAGGCCAGGCCGGAAGAGAAATCTGGAAAGACGCTCAAAGCACAGCCGAAAGGGAAGTGGGTACCGCCAGCTCACAGAAACCTGCACCAGGCGGGCCCCGGCCCCACGCGCCGTGCCCCTCCTCCAGAAGCCCGCTCACCTGGGTAGTTGTAGGGCGTGACCTGGTTGATCATGCTGGAGTACTTGGTGTACGGGCTGAGCGGGGGCAGGATGAGAGCTGAGGAGACAGGCGAGGTGTGCAGGGTGGTCAGGGCAACCTCCGGAGGCCGCCTGCTCTGGGCCCCTTGGCCCTGCAGCCCCCGCTCGCGGGCAGGAGGGGCACAGTGGGGTGAGGGGGAGCCTAGTGCGCTAAGGGCAGGGGCAGGAGGAAGTGGGGGCAGTCTCCTGCAGCGTGGGGGTCTTGGGCGTGTTCCGGGGGAACGGCTGCTGCCAGCGGGGGCAGGAGGGTCACACAAAAAGCAGTCACCGGCAAGGGGCAGGCCGGGAGTCCTGGGGAGCAGGGTACGTCCGTGCCGCGAGTTTCCCGGCAGCCACGTTAACGACAGGAAGTATCTCCAGCTTGGTACTTGCACGATTCGGTGCGTCTCCTACCGTCTCAGTCCTACCAGCCCCACCTGAGCTCGGAGCCCACTGTGGCCGGTGGCCTGCGTGGGCCCTACCCAGTGCGCGGCCCGTGGTGGGAAGCTGTTAGACGCAAAGTCCAGGCCGCACCCAGACCTAGGCGCTGCCCGGCTAGACCCCCGACGCCGCCAGGAAACCCCGAAGGGCGAGCAGCGCTGCGGCAGGACGCGGGCTCTCGCTCGGGGATGCGCTCACGGCCCGGGACGCCCCGACCGACTCGATTCGGAGTCGGAGGAAGGGGGCGTGCTTCGTAATCCCCGTGCGCGCGCGCTCGGCCGTCCCGGCGTGCCCAGTGCGATCTGGCTGGTGGGGCGAGGGGGGCGCCCCTCTCCAGCAGACAGGCACGGCTGGGGGCGGGATGCCGAGCGGCGGCGGGTGCGCGCTCGCGCCGGGGAACTCACGCACCGATACTCCCGATAGCGAAGGACACCACCAGCACCGGCTCCTTGGCCCAGGCGTTCTTGAGGAAGGCGGCGACTCCTACAGCGGAAGGCGAGGGTCACCCTTGCTGGGGCTGCGCAGGTGACCTCTAGCCTTCTCGTGCCACCCGCCCTGCAGGGGCCCCTGGTGACTGCCGCGTGCCAGGCGGGCCCCAGGGCGCCTTCGCGTGGCGCTGCGCCTCCGCCCCCAGACCGCCCGCGGGCCCCGCACCGCCCCGAACCCGGAGAGCCCGTGCAGCCCGGACTCACTAGACGCCATGTTGCTCGGCGGCCGCGAAGGCGCAGAGCACTCTGGGAATTGTGGTCCCTGCGCGAGGCTACGCGACGAAGACTGCGCGTGCGCCTTGAGCAAGAGTCCTGAGACCGTGGGGGCGCGAAGGCCTCTGGGAGTTGTGGTTTTTTCGCCGGCTTAGTCGACGCGTGCGCATTAGCTCAGAGCAGCGGTCTGGCGGGCCGTGGGAAGGTTCCAATGGAGCAGCCCAGACTGCACACTTGCTGGGGTCGCCTTTCTGCCTCAGCCTGCAAGTCGCTGCTGAGGAGAAATTTCTAGTCTTCCTGCTGCAGCCCATCCAAAGTGGAATGAAATTGTCTTCATTGCAAAGTTTAATTATGAAAGCCCATTTTACAGATGGAAGAGCTGAGGCCCAAGGCCAGTGACCTATTAATCCCTCAAGGTCTCAGCTCGAGGTGCACTCCGGCGGGAAGCGCCCTTTCATCTCTCTGGGCTGTCCCAGTGCGCTTTGTTGTGCCACATAACTCACTCAGGTTGCTTGGAAAAAAAAAAAAAAAAGATCTGGGCCCTGTCTTTCAGTGACTGGGAGTTACTCCGGCAATCTTCGCTATGCTGCCTGCAGCACATACTCGCTGATTTGTGCGAGCACCTGCGTGTGTGTGTGTGTGTGTGTGTGTGTGCTAGTGCTGGGGACTGAACCCAAGGGTTTTGCATTGAGCTGCTCACACACACACACACACACACACAAGCTTCATCCTCCTGCCTCAGCCTCCCAGGGTGCTAGGAGTACAGGCCTGCACCACCACACCCAAGCTGTTTTTCTTTCACGTTGAATAAATGAACTTCATAGCTTAAGACGATTCCCTCTCCTCACTTTTTCCACAGCACCATGGGGTTGTGACGCAGTCGCCCTGGGGGCTCATCCTCTCCCTAAGTGGGGTTTGCAGCTGGGTTTGTGACACCTCATTTCTTGGGAGTGAAGAGGGCGTGCCAGGCAGGCAAGGCCCACCAGGACCCTGCACTGCCCACCCCTCTTCTCTGCAGGGTGACCAGCAGCTCTACCTGGGCGATCGGATTCAAACGATTCAGAGTAAAGGGGCGCGAACACGAGAGGAGAGATTCCCGGAGTCGGCGGATGGGCAGGTTTCTTCGGCTCTTGAGGCGGAGAGGCTGGGGCTCGGATCCCCTGCGGATCGGCAGTGTAGATCCCCGGATTCCGATGCCCGAGGAGGTGGAAGCCAGGCCTCCCGAGGCCCAGCGGGACGCTGGGGGCTCACGCTGCCCCCTGGGAAGCCGAAGCCCAGGGCCTGACCGATCTGGGGCGGGTGGCTGCCCCCCGTCTCAGGTGGAGGAGGAGCGGAGGGCTGCGGATGTGGCCGCGGGCGGGCGGGGAGGGCGGGAGTCTGGTTCTCTGAGGGAAGAGGCTGCGGGCGCGGACTCCGGGACCCCGGAGGAGGTGGGTCCGGCAGCCCCAGGGCTTTGACATTAACCTCGCCTCCTTCCCGAGCCTCTGGTCAGGCGGGCTGGGCTCAGCGGGGCCGGGGGTCGCGGGGAGGCGCTGGGACCCCCCCCACATGCTCCTACCTGGCCGACACTCCGGCCCCAAATACTCAGTGTATTTCGGGGCCCAGCCTTGCTGGAGATGTCCTCTGCCAACCTCCTGCGCTCCTCTCTTCTTGCCTTTGCGCCTTTGCTTCCTTTCTTCTGTCGCCTCTTTCCTGCCTCCCTCTGTCCCTCCCTCCTCCTCCCCCCTCCCCCCGGACGGTAATATAGCAAGACCATAAACTTTAGCGCCGAAGACACCTAATCAAGAAGTCTGTTTCATCTCTTTTTCATTTCATGACCTCGAAGCAAGCACAGTTCAGTCCTGGAGGACTGTGTATTTCTCTGTGAAGTGGGCTCCTGTGGGTAAAACTCTTGAGCCTGCCATGGTTCAGGGCGCGGGACGCAGGAGCCCCTGTGAGGCCAGTTATGCCTCCACTTCCCCCGTCAAACCCACTGTCCACCAAGGGGTTGTTTTGAGTTTGTTTGTTTGTTTGTTTTTGAGACAGGGTCTCGCTATGCAGTTCAGGCTGGCCTTGAGCTCACTTTGTAGCCCAGGCTGGCCTCGAACTCGCAAGGATCCTCCTGCCTCAGCCTCCCGACTGCCTCACATTTCCAGCGCACGAGCTCAGGGTCAGCGTGATGGGTTTCTTATGGATGACACTTCTTTCTCTAAACCTTCTCTGACTACTCTCCAACTTCATATAACAGCCACGGGAGGGACGATTACTATTTCAGTTATCTATCAATTTATTTCAGACTAGTTTTTTAAAAGCGGGGTGCAGTGGCGCACACTTATAATCCCAGCACTCAGGAGGCTGAGGCAGGAGGATTGCCACAAGTTCCAGGCCAGCCTGGGCTATGTAGAGAACTCAAAGGCAGCCTGAGCTACACAATGAGACCCTGTCTGATAAAAAAAAAAAAAAAAAAAAAAAAAAAAAAAAGGTTTTTTAATTACAGCAAATACATATTCTCAAGTATAAAAATTCAGTCATTGTTACAAGACATGCCAGCTGCCCTCTTCCCGTCCTATCTTCCTTAACTGACCTTCTGGCCCCTTACCAAGAAGTCCATGCGTCCACACACATGCAGGCACTTACAGACCTCTTCCTTTCTCTTGCCAAAGGAACGCTGGCATTTCATGACTCAGTCTGCTTTGCATCTCATACCTTTATCTTTACAGTGTATCCTGCAGGTCATCACCGCAGCTGCTGCGTGGAAGGCCAGATTCCCACTGGCTTGGGCGCTTCCTTTGAATGTACACGTAGGCTGTTTCCCACTTCGGGGGGAACCCCGGGTCTCCGCACTGAGCTCCAGTCCCAGGGCTTTTATTTTGAGACAGAGTCTCAAAGTTGCTAAGTTGCCCAAGCTGATCTCAACCTTTCGATCCTCCTGCCTCAGCCTCCCCAGTGCTGGAATCTCAGGTGTTCTGTGACCATGCTGTGCGGCTCCCAACTCTCCTCCCTCAGTCGGCGCTGAGTGAGCACCCAGTACACGCGCACCGCGGTGCACACACGTGTGCACGTGTCGGGGGTGGAGTTACGGGGTCATCAGTCACACGAGGTGTGTATCAGGTAGAAGCTGGCACATTTTGTGAAATGGTGCTCAGGTTCCCCTGAAGAGCATGTTTCTCTACATATTCACCCACACTCAGTGTTAATCACTGTTTTAATTTTTCTGGTTTTTTTTGAAACAGAGGTTCACTATGTAGCCCAGGTTAGACTTGAACTCAAAATCCTCCTGCCTCAGCCTCCCAAGTACTGGGATTTACAGGTGCGTGCCACCATGCCCAGCTTCATTTTAACACTTCCTTACTCTAAGAAAATTATATTTTCCACTAATACTTAAAAAAACATGCAGATCTTTAAATATCCTGAGGTATGTTTTAGGGAATGGGGTGAGGTGGGGCCCCAGCATCACCTGTTTCCAAGCAGAGGGTGAGTTTTGTGCCGTGATGACCGTGCTACGGAGCGGGCGGCTTAGAGCAGGGGGACTGTATTTGGCTGTCAGTGTTGGAGGCTTCGAAGCCCAAGATCAAGGGGCTGAGTGTGGTGGGGGCCTCCTTGCCCCACTGTGACACGGCAGAAGGCGTGACCTAGTGAGAGACAGACACACAGACAGGGACAGGGACAGGAAGACAGAGAGAGGTGCGGGCTACAGGGAGGGACTCACAGGCAGCGCCCACCCTGGTGACGCTGGCCCTGACCCTCCGGTCACCTCTCGCCGTCTCCTGAGGCCTCACATCTCCAGGGCACGAGCTCGGGGTCGGCGGAGGCCACAGGAGTGAGGGCGGAATCGGAGTGAACGACCTGCAGTGCTGCTTCCCAGGGCGCCCTGAGACCTGAGCCAGGAGGCCACGTTTACAGCGGCGCAGGGCAGCTCTGGAGGTCGCTGGGCCTCTGGCTGGCTTCGGTTGTGACAGGAGCCGGCTGCGTCCCCTCGGTCACAAGGGGAGTGTGCCCCAGGTGACTTCCGCCTTCCCCAGCGGTCCCATCCACCTGTCATCCGCTGGGCTCCCCGGAAACCTGGGACCCGGGCACCCCTTTTACTAGGTCCCCAGGGCCTCCTACTCCTGCTCCGGCGGGAGGCTCAGCATTCCGCAGCTGGTGGCCCAGAGCTGCTGGTGACAGATGAGGCCGGGGCACAGGGCGGGGACACGGGAGAGGCCCCAGGACCAAGGAGGAGCGGGGCAGGGCGAGGGCGCGGCGGGGCAGGGAAGGACGGACGGACAGCAGAGACCCGAGGCGGGGAAGCGCAGGCACGCGGACAGCCACTGTGACAGAGACCGAGACAGACAGAGGCGACAGGGGCAGGGACAGACAGGACTCGGGTCAGACCCTGGGCCTGCGGAGCGGCTCCTCCGCCCTCGCTGCCGGCTGCCGGGCCGCGGCGTCCCGCTGGGTCCCCCTGCCCGTGGGAGCGAGCCGGCTGCAGGGCCTGAGCTCCACGCTGCGCCGGCTTCCCGCTGCCCACGGCCAGCGTGCCTGGCACCTACAGTCGCCTCGCCACGCACCCTCCAAGCCGTAGCCAGGCGCCCACGCTGCAGAGCCCGCGCCCGTGCCGGCGAGGCCAGTTCACGGGGCCGGCCTCACGTTGGCACCGAGCGCCAGGGCATCAAGGTCTGGGGTGGGGGGCGCCCCGGGACCCTGGAAACGTCAAGGCTGTTCTCCGAGGTTCCTGAGCTGTTCCAGTCCGGCTCTGACGGAGTGTGGGCGACCTGGGGCTGCGGGTAGGCCTGAGCCCTGCACCTGCGGGCTCCAAGGGAGCCGACTCTGCGACCCCCGCGGGCCTCCACAGAGCCTGGGGCCTGCCCGGCCCGGGGCGAGGTCACCCGCTGGCGCTGGCGGCAGAGCGCGCTGCGTCCTCCTGCCCTGCCCTGGCGCCGGGAAGCCGTGGTGAGGGGTGTGTCCCCTCTTCCTGCGGCGCCCTGCCCCTCGGAGGAGACAGTGACCGCAGCACTGCCCCCTGGTCCCCCGTCCTCCGGGGGTCGTCGAAGCAGCAGAGTCCGCAGGGGCTGGCCCTCGAGCCCAGCCTGGCCCAGCGCGGCGCGTTTCCTCCCCCGGCTGCC